TGGATTCGATTCCGGCTTAGGGCACCTGCCCAGGTTGTGAGCTTGATCCCCAGTGTGAGGTGTGCAGGAGGCAGCCAATCAATGATTCTCATCATCGATGTTTCTATTTCTCTCTCCCTCTCCCTTCTTCTCTGAAATCAATACAAATATATTTAAATAATATTTCTTTTTTTAAAAAAATATATTTTATTGGTTTTTTACAGAGAGGAAGGGAGAGAGATAGAGAGTTAGAAACATCGATGAGAGAGAGACATCGATCAGCTGCCTCCTGCACACCCCCCACTGGGGATGTGCCCGCAACCCAGGTACATGCCCTTGACCGGAATCGAACCTGGGACCCTTCAGTCCGCAGGCTGATGCTCTATCCACTGAGCCAAACCGGTTTCGGCTTAAATAATATTTCTAAAGCCTCTATCTTCCTTCTTAGGATTTGGATTTCTTTGGTTTCAAACAACAGGAACTGATTTAAACAGAAATGTAATTTAAACAGAGAAGTGTGCTGTTGGGAGGACATTGGTTACTCACAGAATCTAAGGAAGACTAGAGAACCGGCTCAGGCAACAAGGCACCAAGGACCCAGGGCGTTTGGCGGCAAGAACAGGTCTTACTCTTGCTATCTGCTGATGAGAATGAGTGACAGCTAGTTTTCCCTCCCTCCCACTCATGTCCACCACCCTCCCTCCCTCTCATATCCATCACTCTCCCTTCCTCTCATGTCCACCACCCTCCCTCCCTCTCATATCCATCACTCTCCCTTCCTCTCATGTCCACCACCCTCCCTCCCTCTCATATCCATCACTCTCCCTTCCTCTCATGTCCACCACCCTCCCTCCCTCTCATATCCATCACTCTCCCTTCCTCTCATGTCCACCACCCTCCCTCCCTCTCATATCCATCACTCTCCCTTCCTCTCATGTCCACCACCCTCCCTCCCTCTCATATCCATCACTCTCCCTTCCTCTCATGTCCACCACCCTCCCTCCCTCTCATATCCATCACTCTCCCTTCCTCTCATGTCCACCACCCTCCCTCCCTCTCATATCCATCACTCTCCCTTCCTCTCATGTCCACCACCCTCCCTCCCTCTCATATCCATCACTCTCCCTTCCTCTCATGTCCACCACCCTCCCTCCCTCTCATATCCATCACTCTCCCTTCCTCTCATGTCCACCACCCTCCCTCCCTCTCATATCCATCACTCTCCCTTCCTCTCATGTCCACCACCCTCCCTCCCTCTCATATCCATCACTCTCCCTTCCTCTCATGTCCACCACCCTCCCTCCCTCTCATATCCATCACTCTCCCTTCCTCTCATGTCCACCACCCTCCCTCCCTCTCATATCCATCACTCTCCCTTCCTCTCATGTCCACCACCCTCCCTCCCTCTCATATCCATCACTCTCCCTTCCTCTCATGTCCACCACCCTCCCTCCCTCTCATATCCATCACTCTCCCTTCCTCTCATGTCCACCACCCTCCCTCCCTCTCATATCCATCACTCTCCCTTCCTCTCATGTCCACCACCCTCCCTCCCTCTCATATCCATCACTCTCCCTTCCTCTCATGTCCACCACCCTCCCTCCCTCTCATATCCATCACTCTCCCTTCCTCTCATGTCCACCACCCTCCCTCCCTCTCATATCCATCACTCTCCCTTCCTCTCATGTCCACCACCCTCCCTCCCTCTCATATCCATCACTCTCCCTTCCTCTCATGTCCACCACCCTCCCTCCCTCTCATATCCATCACTCTCCCTTCCTCTCATGTCCACCACCCTCCCTCCCTCTCATATCCATCACTCTCCCTTCCTCTCATGTCCACCACCCTCCCTCCCTCTCATATCCATCACTCTCCCTTCCTCTCATGTCCACCACCCTCCCTCCCTCTCATATCCATCACTCTCCCTTCCTCTCATGTCCACCACCCTCCCTCCCTCTCATATCCATCACTCTCCCTTCCTCTCATGTCCACCACCCTCCCTCCCTCTCATATCCATCACTCTCCCTTCCTCTCATGTCCACCACCCTCCCTCCCTCTCATATCCATCACTCTCCCTTCCTCTCATGTCCACCACCCTCCCTCCCTCTCATATCCATCACTCTCCCTTCCTCTCATGTCCACCACCCTCCCTCCCTCTCATATCCATCACTCTCCCTTCCTCTCATGTCCACCACCCTCCCTCCCTCTCATATCCATCACTCTCCCTTCCTCTCATGTCCACCACCCTCCCTCCCTCTCATATCCATCACTCTCCCTTCCTCTCATGTCCACCACCCTCCCTCCCTCTCATATCCATCACTCTCCCTTCCTCTCATGTCCACCACCCTCCCTCCCTCTCATATCCATCACTCTCCCTTCCTCTCATGTCCACCACCCTCCCTCCCTCTCATATCCATCACTCTCCCTTCCTCTCATGTCCACCACCCTCCCTCCCTCTCATATCCATCACTCTCCCTTCCTCTCATGTCCACCACCCTCCCTCCCTCTCATATCCATCACTCTCCCTTCCTCTCATGTCCACCACCCTCCCTCCCTCTCATATCCATCACTCTCCCTTCCTCTCATGTCCACCACCCTCCCTCCCTCTCATATCCATCACTCTCCCTTCCTCTCATGTCCACCACCCTCCCTCCCTCTCATATCCATCACTCTCCCTTCCTCTCATGTCCACCACCCTCCCTCCCTCTCATATCCATCACTCTCCCTTCCTCTCATGTCCACCACCCTCCCTCCCTCTCATATCCATCACTCTCCCTTCCTCTCATGTCCACCACCCTCCCTCCCTCTCATATCCATCACTCTCCCTTCCTCTCATGTCCACCACCCTCCCTCCCTCTCATATCCATCACTCTCCCTTCCTCTCATGTCCACCACCCTCCCTCCCTCTCATATCCATCACTCTCCCTTCCTCTCATGTCCACCACCCTCCCTCCCTCTCATATCCATCACTCTCCCTTCCTCTCATGTCCACCACCCTCCCTCCCTCTCATATCCATCACTCTCCCTTCCTCTCATGTCCACCACCCTCCCTCCCTCTCATATCCATCACTCTCCCTTCCTCTCATGTCCACCACCCTCCCTCCCTCTCATATCCATCACTCTCCCTTCCTCTCATGTCCACCACCCTCCCTCCCTCTCATATCCATCACTCTCCCTTCCTCTCATGTCCACCACCCTCCCTCCCTCTCATATCCATCACTCTCCCTTCCTCTCATGTCCACCACCCTCCCTCCCTCTCATATCCATCACTCTCCCTTCCTCTCATGTCCACCACCCTCCCTCCCTCTCATATCCATCACTCTCCCTTCCTCTCATGTCCACCACCCTCCCTCCCTCTCATATCCATCACTCTCCCTTCCTCTCATGTCCACCACCCTCCCTCCCTCTCATATCCATCACTCTCCCTTCCTCTCATGTCCACCACCCTCCCTCCCTCTCATATCCATCACTCTCCCTTCCTCTCATGTCCACCACCCTCCCTCCCTCTCATATCCATCACTCTCCCTTCCTCTCATGTCCACCACCCTCCCTCCCTCTCATATCCATCACTCTCCCTTCCTCTCATGTCCACCACCCTCCCTCCCTCTCATATCCATCACTCTCCCTTCCTCTCATGTCCACCACCCTCCCTCCCTCTCATATCCATCACTCTCCCTTCCTCTCATGTCCACCACCCTCCCTCCCTCTCATATCCATCACTCTCCCTTCCTCTCATGTCCACCACCCTCCCTCCCTCTCATATCCATCACTCTCCCTTCCTCTCATGTCCACCACCCTCCCTCCCTCTCATATCCATCACTCTCCCTTCCTCTCATGTCCACCACCCTCCCTCCCTCTCATATCCATCACTCTCCCTTCCTCTCATGTCCACCACCCTCCCTCCCTCTCATATCCATCACTCTCCCTTCCTCTCATGTCCACCACCCTCCCTCCCTCTCATGTCCATCGCCCTCCCTCCCTCTCATGTCCATCACCCTCCCTCCTACTCATGTCCACCACCCTCCCTCCCTCTCATATCCATCACTCTCCCTCCCTCTCATGTCCATCACCCTCCCTCCCTCTCATGTCCATCACCCTCCCTCAGCAGAAACTCACCAGTCTAGGTCCGTGGGGCCAGGGGAAGAGAGGACACCGGACCCGACAGCCCATCAGGACTGCCTCTCTCTGTAGTCCCGGGCTGTCCCCACAGAGGAGGCAGTGGCAGCTGGATGCCGAGCCCAGAGGAGATCGCTGAGACCCCATTCTCTCCTCCTGACCGCCATCTGTCACTTCCCCGTTATCTCAAGTACGAGTGACAAATGCACCTTCCCAGGTGGTAGGAGAGATAGGAGAATAAATCCATCTGCATGAGCATTTCCCCAAAGGGAGGGAAGTTTGGCCCCCCCTCAGCATTCGGTGAAAGGTTATGGAAGATGATGTGGTTGAGCGATGACCTATGGACCAGGAGGTCATGGTTTGATTCTGGTCGCTGGGGTGTGAGCTGGATCCCCAGTAGGGGGCATGCAGGAGGCAGCAGATCCATGATTCTCTGTGGGATCACTGGTGTTTCTTTCTCTCCCTCTCCCTCTCCCTCTCCCTCTGAAATGAATATACATACATATGAGAAACAGGAGGCGTTGCACTTTGGGTAGGGAGCTACACCTCAGAGGCTTTTGGGAACATCCCACCTGGCCCTGGCCTGCTGGGCCGCGGGAGCAGCGACAGTGCGGTGCTGGTGAGGGGCGTGGCACCAGGAGGTGGAGGTAAATCTGAGAGGCCTTGGACGGCTGCCCTGAAGGGAAGGTGCAGGTGTGAGCGGGGCGTGGAGCGAGGCAGGACCAGGATGGGGTGGGGCCCAAGCACCTGGGAGTGTCTGAAGCCAGGTCACCCGGGAGTTGTCTCTGGGGTTGATGGGGCGGAGAAGGCGTGCGGCCAGCAGGATGGCAAAGGGGAGAAGCCAAGCCAGGGTGTGGGAATGCGGCTGAGCGCTCGGCGCCACGGGCAGAGGCAGTGTCTGCGGCCGCACCAGGCGGGCGTTGGTGGACGTCTGTCCAGAGTGTGAGTCGGGACGGCGTAGCTCCCACGGGTCCAGGCAATTCTCCAGGGACGAGGGCAGCTGCGAGCCGGCGCAGCCGTCCCAGCGGGTCGCTGTAGGGCGTGTGGATTTGGCACATAACCGGCGGGGGTTCGGGAGGGAGAGGAGAGCAGCTCTGCGGTGCCCAGGGGAGGCGCCCTCAGTGGTTGCCCAGGGGCCGGTGGTGGGAGAGGCGGGACCAGGAGTCACGCACAGGAGAGGCGCATGGGGAGGCCTGTTCTGTGCCATGGATCTCACGTGAGAGCAGAAGGCGGGAAGCAGCGGGGGTGGTGGGTGGGGGGTGAGTGTGGAGAAAAGGCTGAGGTGCTGTTGCTTGTCTGTCTGTCGGGAGGTCTGGTGCCTTGGAGGGTTTCGGGGTGCGGCTCCACACCTCCTGCCAGTCCTTTCCGACCAGCCCCCCTCCTCCAGGCGCTGTCCGCATCCCTGATGCTGCTCAGTCCTGCTTGTGCTCAAGCTGCTGTGTCCAGGTTGCCTGATGCTGCCTCAGGGACCCCCCAAGACTGAGGGCAGGAAGCGCCTTCCGCTCTGAGCCAGCTCCTGTGGCTCAGGAATTTGGAGGGAGCCCGTGGGCTCGCTGCCCAGGGGGGCGGCTGCGAGACTCAGAACGGGCTGGGCTGTCTGCAGGCTGCTTCCCGCCCCGGGCAGGGCGC